TGGCCTTATTGATTCTTGCCCTCCTTACTGTCTCCTTTTAAATATTAAATTCTCTCTAAAAGTATACCAAAATTATTTCTCTCCTATAAGAATATCTTGAAGATATTTGAATGAAAACTTGAGTCTGCATTAAAAAAAAATAGATTAAAACAATTTAAGATGTATTATGTTTCTTCAGATATAAAATTTGAGTCTCATTCTATGTCCCAAACATCAACTTATATTCTGTCTGTTCTTTTCTATTTTTTTTCCTTTTTGACATTAATTTTTATGCTTACAGTTTTGCCTTTTATCCTGTGCCTGTTTCATCTGTCTCTTTCTTCCTAAATGTAGTGAAATCTCAACCACTCAACCAAATTATGTGGTAAACCTTTGTTTGTTTGTTTGTTTTAATATGCTTCCTCCTCAAATATCTGCTCTGTGAGAAGCTCTGCTCTTTCTGCCTTTGCTTGCTTTTGGCAAACTTTACCTTCCAGTACCACTCTACCAGTCTAGCATCCTCTTTTGTTTTCAGATTTAGGTGAAAGATAGGCTTAATTTGTTCCTCATTAGTGCTGTGTGTGTATGAGGGGTGCTGTCAAGGTGGCTCTGACTCATATCAACCCTATGTACAACAGAACAAAACACTGCCTGGTCCTTGCCAGCCTCTCAATCATTGCTATACCTTAGCCCATCATTGCAGCCACTATGTTAATACATCTTGTTGAGTAACTTCCCCCCTTTCTTTTACTCTCCACTTCACCGAGCATGATATCCTTCTCCAGAGGAATGGTCCCTTCTGACAATATGACCCAAATAGATGAAATGACATCTGGCCATTCTCGCTTGCAGGGAACATTCTGACTGTACTTCCAGGACAGATTTGTTAGTTCTTCTGGCAGTCCATGGTATTTTCAGTATTCTACACCAACAAAAGCACCAACTCTTCTTCATTCTTCCTTAGTCATTGTCCAGATTTCACATGCATATGAGACAATTGAAAATAGCAATGTTAAATTTTAAAAATCGATCTTCCTAAAGTCCCTGTACAATTTTATTACTATATTTCTCAATGCCTCATTGTTTTAAGAAGGATCATCACTATTCTTTGCCTTGTTGTGTGTGGTGATTCCAGTGGGAAGATTATGATTTCTACCCCATTGAATATATGACATCCTCTAGTCAATAGTATCTGTGGTAGTTAAGGTTGTTGTCAACTTGGCTGGGCCTGTTTGAGTGGCTGTCCAGCTGGAGGTAGTTATTCCCCATGATGAGAATGGCAATCACCTCCATCATAGAATCTGTAGCAAGCAGCTGAGTAGCTGCTTTAGGGATGTGGTCTGCTTCCCATATATAAGGAGAAGCTTTGGGATTGGTCTCTAGCTTTTTGGCAAGCTTGAACCCTGCGTGTAACTTCTTTAGTAGTCTATGTGCTCTGCTGATCTTGGGACTTTCAATGGACTTGAATTAATGGCCTGCCATGTGATTTGGTAACATCAGGACTATGTCTTTTTATTTGTGAATGCTGGATTTGCAGTGTGAGCAGACATAGCTGCCTGGCTGAAGAAAGTCTCCAGCTTCATTGGGCCAGGAGCAAGAAGCAGAGCTGAAGCCTCTAGAGTCTGGCACTTTGAACTCTGACTTCTAGTCTCCAAAATCATGAGACAATAAACTCCTGTTCGTTAAAACTATCCCATTTGCGGTATATTCCTGTCAGAGCAGCACTGAGTAACTAAGATAATATCTAAACAAACATAAACTATACATGGCTATAAGCAACCTCCAAACTTGAGTAATCATTGCATTTGTTCACTATGTCTCTTGCTCTTTCCTTCAGCCTTGAAAATACTATTAACCAAATAGGGACTTCTCCTTCCTTCTGGATACCATGATGAAGACATGGAACAGATTTTTAACATTTAACATTGGTATTTTCAGTTGCCTCATATGCATGTGAAATCTGGACAACGACTAAGGAAGAATGAAGAAGAGTTGTTCCAGGACAGATTTAACTTAAATAAATAAGCTATACATATTAATTGCTCATTGGACAGCTCTGACCTGTAGCTGCAGACATAACATGAGTAAGAGATAAAGCATAGTTTTTAAAGCACTCACATTTTAAAGTTGTTTGCTATCACAGAAAACTTGACAAATTCAATACCAGCAGCTCCCCCACACACACGTAAGGGATTTAACACTTGATGACCTTGGGGTACTTCTTGCAATAGCATTTCTGAGTGTCCCTTAGATATCTCGTACTCTTGCTTTCCCCTGAGGTAATGATTTATTACAAATTTTTACAACCTCATCAAAGATTGGCAATTATGTAAAGATTTTCTAGTGTCTTATATATTTTATTCATATGTTTATTCAGCAGATTTTGTGAGTGTGGCCTATATTTTTCACAATATGTTAGTGCTAGAAATGCTAATAAATTTACTATAGCAATATTTCCCTAAGGTACTTTCAGTTTTACCTCAACAACTTAAATTGATAAGCTATACATAATAATTTCTTATTGGACAGCTGGATATATTGTTGTTAGGTGCCATCAAGCTGACTCTGACTCATAGTGATCCTATGTACAACAGAACAAA